CAGGAGTTGGAGGTTGCTGTGAGCTGTAATGCCATGGCACTCTGCCCAGGGGGACAGCTTGAGGCTCTGTCTCAAAAAAAAAAAAAAAAAGCATTTTGTTACATCTATCTTTCCTAATAAGCATACCTTTTTTTTTTTTGGCCGGGGCTGGGTTTTGAACCCACCACCTCCGGCATATGGGGCCGGTGCCCCACTCCTTTGAGCCACAGGCACCACCCGACAAAGCATTTTGTTACATCTATCTTTCCTAATAAGCATACTTTTCTTTTTTTTTTTTGCAGTTTTCTTTTTTTGGCCAGGGCTGGGTTTGAACCCACCACCTCTGGCATATGGGGCCAGTGCCCTAATCCTTTGAGCCACAGGCGCCGCCCCCCCCCCCTCCGCCTTTTTTTGAGACAGAGCCTCAAGCTGTTACCCTGAGCAGAGTGCTGTGGCATCACAGCTCACAGCAACCTCCAACTCCTGGGCTTAAGTGATTTTCTTGCTTCAGCCTCCCAAATAGCTTGGGACTACAGGCACCCGCCACAATGCCTGGCTATTTTTTGGTTGCAGCTGGCATTGTTGTTTGGCAGGCCTGGGCCGGATTTGAACGCGCCAGCTCTGGTGTATGTGGCTGGCACCTTAGCTGCTTGAGCTACAGGCACCTGGCTAAGCATACTTACATTTTTCTATCTGCTTATTGCTATTGCTCAGAGTAACTGTGGTGTTACCACATCTTAAAGCACTTAGTGAAACTAAGGTAAGGGATTATTACACCATTACTATAATGATCTGAAGGAGAAATGGAAAACGCTACAGGCAGGAAATGATGTGCCTCTTTCCTTTTACGAGTGTAAGGTCTCAACAGGTTTTGACTCGTTATAGCCATTATATGAAGGCTAACCAGCTTGTGTAGTTCTCAAGCAGCCCACCAGAGTAAATTCACACATAATGAGAAACCACAAGATGTGTTACAGTTAAAAGAGTATGTATAAAAGGTTTTACTTTGTGTAATTTTCAGTACAAGACATCTAAAGTCTTAAACAGTAAGTTGATCCTATTAGGAACAAAATATGGCACAGATTCCAGAAACAAGAACTTTGCTTTTTTTTTTTGCATTTAGGCTTTTCAGTCACTATGCAATGATTATCGATTCGCCAAGGACAGTAATAGTCAAATACTAGAGAAAAGGAGATATGAGAAACATCTTTTATTTCTTCTAAAGAGGTGAAAATAAGATTTCTTATATTTCTCACTCATAAGATTTTTAAACTCTTAAAAATGCAATTTCCTTTTTTCAAAGCACATGCCATCTTAAAAAAATCTTAGCAATGTACATTTGCACTCAAAGAAAAACATGCAGCGCCATTGTCTTCGGACAAAATTCTGCATAAAAAACCCCACACAACTTTCTGCAAGTATGTTCCCTCTTTATTATTTAGGGACTCCTAACCACAAAAATTCAGTGCAATATCTGTTTCTTATTTCCGTAGGAAACACAGGAGCAATGTGTCTTCTGACTACAACTGTTTCCTGATGGTTGAGTAACAGTCTCCCTCTCCTTTAAAGTACTCTCTTTAACTTGCTGACATAAGGTATAACTAGAATTCAGTAAAACTTGAGGATCCAAGTGGAGGATGGAGGAAAAACACTTAAGGTCTACCCTGTGCCAAAAACTTAGGAAAAAAAATTTACACAGAAAAAGAAATAAACCAAAAAAACCTCAGAATTTATCAATGCACCCTTTAAAAGTGTTTTTTTGCTTTTTTTAAAATTTCTGAAAGCAGCTTAATGTGAATCAAAAGCAGTTCCTGAGTAACTGCAGTAAACAGTCTTTTTAAATATACGTATGTATATATGCATATATATACACACATACATATATTTTTATATATATATATATTTGCAACTTAGCTCATTTTGGTTCTGCCTTAATTTACCTCCCTAGTATTTAGTTGAATCACAGTCCCTTCCTTCCTTTCAGTTCCCAATGTGCAAGTACAATAGCATCAGCTCTGGGAGTTGGCATGGTGCAGATGTTTCTTTTCACTCCTGTGTGGTCATCTGCATGCCTGTCAGGCCAGGTTTCCAGAGTTGCTGCAGGTCACAGTTCTTTCAATCTTACAAAACCTGTGAGTGCCACGACTACTTCACGTTTTCTTCATCAGGCGCCGTGACTGCCAGGTGTGGAGCTTGTTGTAGGCTGTCTGGAGCATCTCTTCTATGTGACTTACCAACTGAAAAACAAAAGCAAGGCAAAGGAAGGTAATGCTTCTGACCCAAATCCGGCACATACTTCAGAGCATAGTTTCCAAGTTCATCTGTATTACCCTAGTCCAGGGGTCCAGTTCACTGTCCCTCAGACTGTTGGAGGGCCGGACTGTGGGCCCCGGGACAAGTTGGCTGCTAGGCAGGCCGGATAAATGTCCTCTGCAGGCCGCATGTGGCCTGCAGGCAGTAGTTTGAGGATGCCTGCCCTAGGCAATGAGGCTACGTGGAAGCCCTTTATGAAGGTGTTATCAGACATACTTTGTATTGAAAGGTGAGAGAGATGTTAGGGTACAGTGAAAAGGCTGAACAATTATCTGGTCTATCTGGACTATAGTGTCTGCCCTATAATTAACCAACAATAAAACCATATGACAGTCATTAACTGTGCTCTAGATCTCAGTTTCTTCTGTCAAATTAGAGGACCAATTTAAATCAGTGATTTTTTTTTTTTTTTTTTT